GTTTTCCTTATGGATTTTAGGTAATCCATACGCTTTTGGAAGGAGAGAATCACTACAACGTAATTTATAATATTCGTTTTTTGAAATATAATCTTCCTTAAGCCATCTCTTCAACAAATCATTCAAATCGTTCTCTATTTTTTTGCACGGATTTTTTTTAACAATAGTGTAAGTGTTGACATCTTTTAAAACGTTTTCCATTTTGTTAATATAATGAGATCTTTCCATTGCCACCGTAGCATTACCCTTGTCCGCGCGTGTGAATAGAACATTCGGATTGTCTTTACAAAATTTTATTAAATCTCTGTGTGCACCAAGTAATTTTTGTTGACTTACGTCATTTTTATCCTTCGTGTTCAGAAGTTGTGCAAATTTTGGAACCGCGATATTTCTGATCGTTGTGAGATTATTAATATTATTTCGTTTGCTATTACTCTCTATGTCCTTGATGAATTCATGTATCGCTGTTTTTTTACTAATATTCGGAAGACAGAATTTATCACCCATTTGCAACAGATTAGAAACGTTAGGCGGAATGTCTGTGTTGGAAAGATTAACAAACCATTTTTTATTAGTATTTTCCAAAGGGTTAATTGTATCATTGAGAAATTTATTGGCTTCTATGTGTATATTGATCTCCTTGGCATCATTAGTGATTGCCCTGAGAGAATTTTGTGATATTTTCGTCGGTTGTGAAGTTTCAAAATGTAAAGAACAATGTATATCTATAGGTTTGATGCTGTTGATATACTTATAGTGTTGTTTTCTCTTAAGCCAATTGAATTTCTTTTCGTGTGCAGTAACCAATCTGTTGTGGCAATTTTTAAAAGCAATGTTATGATGTTCGAAAATTCTATTCCACGCGAGTACAGGTAAACGATTAAATAACCCGCTGGTGAGATGAAAAATCCTATTTTGTAATGACTCTACCTGTCTATGCAAATCAAAGATTTCAATGCTCATCGCATTTGTTTTGAATTTGTACAACATACTATCTAGTCTTCTGATCGATCTGTGATGAAAAACGTTAAATTTAATGCGGCAAAAACCTTCTAAATGTGTAGGAAAAATATCGCCATTTTTACAATTTCTTAAAAATTCCAATTTTGCTCTCGCTCTTATTAACAAGTAATTCGCATTAATCCATTGTTTAAAATAATCTGCGGTTATTCTTCCAAAAACTCTATGAATAAAATTAAAATTAAAATAGTAATCAGTCCGTTTTGTGTTAAATTGACGCATTGTAAGGCCAGCGTATATTAAAAATAAATTAATACAATTGTCGCTCGTATATTGAAAACAAAGTGATAAATATAAGGCCAACTTATCGAGCTGAATATTCGAGATGTTCAGTCAACTACCATTTATTACATGTATAAATTATAAAACTACAGTCATTATATTAAAACTAACGCAAATTACAATCATTCTATAAACGTTTCGACCGCACGCGGTCTTCTTCAGTATAATTATTGAAATATAAATTCTTACAATTCACATAATATCGAAATTTAATTATAGTTATTCAGAATCAAGAGTTTTTGAGTAATTAACGCGTGTTTCAATATAAACGTTGTCGACGAGAGATCATCGCGTCCGCATGACATTATATCTGTCGACATGGCGCGTCCACGTGGACGAGAGACTCGGACACGACATGGGGAAAAAGCACGAACAATGGGCCGACGTGACGCGCCAAATTGTACTAATTGCCACCTACGTAACACGAGCTGGTGCGGGCTAAAATAACGAACAGATTGAAATAACAACGCAGGCCCACCCCCTATATATACCCGCTGACAGCAGTGCGTAGCCTCTGACGATTTTCTATGTTTATAATATACATAACATCGTCTCTCCCTCCCTCCCATCCGATCTCCTTCCTCTTTTTTTTCCACTTCCGTCCTCTTCTCCACTTTCTTGTAATCCATAATTACACTCGTACGAGGCGAACATTGTTGGACAGGACGGATTGAAACACGCGTTAATTACTCAAAAACTCTTGATTCTGAATAACTATAATTAAATTTCGATATTATGTGAATTGTAAGAATTTATATTTCAATAATTATACTGAAGAAGACCGCGTGCGGTCGAAACGTTTATAGAATGATTGTAATTTGCGTTAGTTTTAATATAATGACTGTAGTTTTATAATTTATACATGTAATAAATGGTAGTTGACTGAACATCTCGAATATTCAGCTCGATAAGTTGGCCTTATATTTATCACTTTGTTTTCAATATACGAGCGACAATTGTATTAATTTATTTTTGTATTATAATATTTTTACCATCCAATAAAATAGTCGAACGTGATTTTTTTTTTTTTTAGGAAGATGATAAATTCGATGTAAAATTGATGGAGTCGTCGACGGTATATTTAACGCGTCAAAATTAATGAGCAATTATAATTATTCGTAATAATAATGATACCTATAATGGAAGATGAAATTTTGTCGTGTCGTTAAAAAATTACAGGAAGATAAAAAAAACCGAATGAATTTAGCAAAATTACATCAGATTGTAGTGAAACACTCAAGATTGCGATAAAACGTTCTTTAATATACCAATAATGAAGTAATGCCGGGATAGACAGTCATAAAGTGGGACTGGCCATTAAGGTTGCCCTAATAACCATTAACGAAGTAGAGAGGGTAATGCTGCGAGGGTTAATTAGAATCGTCGACATATTCTCAAACACACTTGGCAGTGTGCCATGAACACTTTAATGTCTTTCATTATGGCTGTCTATCCCATGACATTTGCGGCCATCGGTCCCAATATTTATATGCTCGTTCATTTTAAAACGATCCCGCGAGGAGGATGAACGTTCGTTTTTTTTTCACGTACAAATATTATTTTCTCCTCGACATAAAAAAAAAAAAAAAAAAAAAAAAAAAAAAAAAAAAAAAAAAAAAAAAATTTTTAATTTAATCAACGCGAACACAATATATATCCGAATGAATAGATATGCGATGTAACAAAAAATAAAATAAAATGAAATAACAAAAAAAATATATATACATCGTCGACGCTGCTTCTGCACGAATATACGTGCAACGCCTGTGCTTTTTTACTTGCAAGCAATTATGGATTACAAGAAAGTGGAGAAGAGGACGGAAGTGGAAAAAAAAAGAGGAAGGAGATCGGATGGGAGGGAGGGAGAGACGATGTTATGTATATTATAAACATAGAAAATCGTCAGAGGCTACGCACTGCTGTCAGCGGGTATATATAGGGGGTGGGCCTGCGTTGTTATTTCAATCTGTTCGTTATTTTAGCCCGCACCAGCTCGTGTTACGTAGGTGGCAATTAGTACAATTTGGCGCGTCACGTCGGCCCATTGTTCGTGCTTTTTCCCCATGTCGTGTCCGAGTCTCTCGTCCACGTGGACGCGCCATGTCGACAGATATAATGTCATGCGGACGCGATGATCTCTCGTCGACAACGTTTCGAGCGTGTCTCCTGCAAGTCGCGATCGTTCAGCTGCGCGATAATTGCAACGTTTACATAAGGGATGTATCTTTTTTCGTCCCTTCTCGCCAAGAGTCACGTATATACGCTACTTCCGCAAATGAACAACGCGCGTATAATTTCATTGTATTATTATACGGCTCACTTGAGAGTTTGATGCTGGAATTTGCATAATTAAGTAATGCTATTATCCACCTTATAGCTAAAACCATATACATACGCCTGCAATGTGTTTTATGTAACAATTATAGCTTTCACACTCTACAGCGCGCTAATATCGTAAATCCGTATCGATATTATGTAATATTACGTAATATTAATTAATTTATAATTGTATTAGTTCTATATCAATTACGGCCTATAATTGAGGTCTGTTAATATATTTGTCGAGAAAAATATCTTTTTGAAACGAGAGTCACAGACGCGTCCGCAGGATTTTTTCCAGGAGGAGGCATAATTAAACTTTTTTAAATTTAATTTTTTTTACCTTTTTATATTCAAAAGAAGAGCAAATGCTGAAATTTTTTTTTACACAGGTCTATGAAAAAATAAATTTCGATGCTTAAAAAACTGTGGATAATATCATAAGTAGAAAAATGTTGATGTGCCAAAGAAATGATAATTTTCTAATATAAAATGAAAATAATATAATTGGGAATATTTTGAGATCGAATGAGAAAACTTACAGGCGAGAAGGGGATTATTATTTATCTCGCGATTATCTATCTCGATCTGTCGACATTGGCGCGACGCAAGTTCCAAAGCGAGGAGAGGGCGAAAAACCCCGACTTTCTCTCACCGACACCTCTCTTCCTCAGCGTGCTTCTGCACTCCAAGCCGAACGTGTGAACCAGAATTACGCTTTTCTTTGTACACGGATATATCATGCATATATATACATACCTGTGTATATAGTCGCGAAATCGTCGGATGACCGCACGCATCGTACCTTGTTGTACATATGTATGCACGTGCCGACGAGGAATGTTATTTTCTTTTTTCTTTCTTTTTTTGTCTTCCCTGTCACGTTTTTCGCCTCACATTCTAACACCCTCATACTTTGCTCGATCACGTCTCGCTGTTGCTGCCGCTGCTCTTGCAAACTGAGAATGGCCGATTCACAGCTGATGTCTATATAATATTACGACGCGCTGGCGATTCTCGTGCTCGATTTTACACGAATTGCAAGTTACTACAAATACCTCGAGACTTTGTAGTGTCTTGTCATTTACGCAAGAGTAATTAAAGACCGAAGCGCATAGTAATTACGTGCGTCATGTCGCAAGTATATATAAATATGCTGAGTCGATTATCTAATAACGTAATTACTCACGTGTGTGGAGTGCCATATTTGCACGGAAAATAATTACTTAGCTCGGTGAATGGCGTTAAATTGAATTTGAGAAACGCCAGCGTGTCACTCGCAGCTTTAACATGTTGCGTATAAATTTTAGTCCCCTATTAACGGATACGTTATATTTAATATCGGCGATCGAAATTGATGGACTTTTTGTGTTGTATAGGGCAAGTTTTTCTATTGTACCGATGCATCGAAAATGACGAAGCTCGAGTGCCGGTAAGTTCTCATTGCGTTATAAATTAAATCGATTAGAAATAAATAATTGTATTTAATTTCCCTTAAATTTGTATAAACACACATAAGAGTTTTAAAAAAATTCACGGATATATTAAATGTAAAATAGAGGGGAAAATTTCTAATCTGATTTTTGACACACATATTCACGCGCAAATCGAGAAAGATCAAATGGAGCCCACTTTTGGAAAAAACTGTGCAAGGCACTCTCTTTTCCAGGGGCACTTATTTGGAATTCGAGGACGGTAATATCAATAGACCGGCCGTGAAACAGAGAGAGTGGCTTCAGCAACGTTTTCACTTTGATGACGTCGCTAAGGCGATGCTGACCCTCTTTACGGTCTCGACTTTCGAAGGTTGGCCATCGTAAGTACATTTTCATTGTGTTCGAGAAACATTGTTTTCGAGAGGTTTTCGATCGCGAATTAAATATAGAAAAGATCACTTATGTGTCGTGAAAGTCAAGTTTTTTTTCGCTCTTATTATCGACACGATTAATTGTCCCTTAAGCGAATTCGCTTCATTTTTATCACTTTCTCCGATCCTGAATTTTATTGTATCTCGATCTTCTACGATGCTATTCTGCTTTAATGATATTGCGAGAGAATAAATAAGGGTAGACAATTCTAACGATAGTTCGAGATATCATTTAACATTGTCTTCCA